GTAAATGCCTACTTAAGACTCTCCATCAGTTGTTTTACAACTGACAAAGACTCTTGAATGGAGACTAGAAATGTTTTCATGAACGTAAAGAAGTCCAGTTGCCTTCTTTTCAAGCACACGAGACAACAAAGAACCCAACACCTGGACAGTATGGGCCCCTGAAATGCCCTCTGACTGTCTAATTGAAGTAAAATAAAGAGCAACAAAATCTGAACACAAGAGGTCTGAACACCTTGGAGATCCACATTATATTTCTAAAAGTATTCATTCATCTGCCTTCACACTTATATGAACTCGACTGACATCCCATTATTAATCAATAGGATTTAATATTATGTTGGTTCACCCTTTGCAGCTTTAACAGCTTCAACTCTTTCAAGGTGGCTTTCCACAAAGGTTAGTGATGTTTAGGAGTGTGTGTGGGAGTTTGGGGCCATTCTTCCACAAGCACATTTGTAAAGTGAGACACTGATGTTGGATGAGTCTCCAGTCTCCACTCTTATTCACCTGCCTTTATAGACCGTGCTTTGTAGACTGGTAGTCATGTTGGAACCGTTCCCCCAGCAACCAGCAAACCCAGACTCATCTATTGGACTTCTAGACAGAGAAGCGTGATTTAGTAGTGATGAAATTTCACCAGTGGACTGGCACAAGTTTCATCCTATCGCTTTACCATGTCCATTCTTTCACAAATATTTTCACATGCAGTCTGCATGGTGCTTGAGTTTATCCACCTTTGTCCATGGAAGTGATTGGAGCACCTGAATTCAATGACTGGGATAGTTGAGTGACTACTTTTATCAATACAGATGTTTTTTGTACAAAATCAACGGAATGATGAACAACTTTTTGTCTTTCTTCCCCTTTCTTTAAACCTAAATTACCCAACATCCATTGAGCTGCACTCAGACAAACTTGACTAGCAAACCAGACACAAAGTTGATATATTGATACAGCATTATGTAAAATAATTTTAGGTGCACTATTCTCTTTGTTTTCGGTCCTGCATCATAGAAGTGGGTGTTGGGTTGATGGTCGGGCCATGCTAATGGGCATTTCGAGTTCCTGAGGGGGTAAAGAGTGGGCCTAGAACTTGTTAAAACATAACCATTCTTTTTTGTTCCCTACATGTTAAAACTAAAATGTGAGATGTGGGTGTGCTGGATTTGGAGTTGTTTAAAAAAGCTGTACCGAGTCATACTTTTAGCAATGTAATTTGCAGATGACACAACTCTGCTGGGGCTCATCTCTGGGGGGGGATGAGTCTTCCTACAGGGATGAAGTAGAGCGACTGACAGCATGGTGCACAGACTACCTGATCAGACCAATGAGCTCACTGTGGATTTCAGGAACATGGCAGAGCTGGCAAAGAAGACCCAGCAGAGACTCTATTTCCTGAGTGTCATCAGGAAAAATAACATCTCTCAAAAACTGTGGGTGTCCTTCTACCAATACTCTATTGAGAGCATCCTTTACTACTGCTTCTGTGTGTGGTTTTCAGCTCCACAGCAGCACAGAGAAAAACACTCCAGTGAATCATTAAGACTGCCCAGGAAACCATCGACTGTCCTCTACCCTCTCTTGAAGAACTGTACAGGTCCCACTGCCGTAGGAAAGCCAAGAACATTAAAAAAATGTACTTGGCTGAACAGGAGTCATAACAGGAGCATTAAAGCAAGTAGCCATCAGGGCATTAGACACCACC